GATGGGGGCTTTTAACCATACTTTGACTTTGCTGATCTTTCTTGATCCCAATCCAATTGTCCCATATTGGGTAAAACACTTCTATAAATCTGAACTGTCACATCCCTTCTTGATGTGACTTTGTAAGTAATATCACCACCTTGTCCTGAACCTCAGCAGTACGCGCGCTCTGCGTCAGCAGGTTGGAAATAGCTTAATATCTGCAACTAAGAAAGCATGGGTTAACATAATATGTTGGCTTGATCTAATTCTTGATATACAGTGTGTTTAAATTGAAGGGGAACTTTCCATTTATGTTTGTAGGCCTTAAGTTGGCATCCTAGAGCAGTCTTTATTTTGCTTGACAAATACCTAGACAAACACCCAGACCTCTCTTGGGTTTTGTGTGTTTTGTTTTTGTTGGTGGTGGTGGGGTGGGATTTTTTATTTTTTTGTTTTGGTTGGTTGGTTGAGGTTTTCCTTTTTTTTGGTCCCAAAGGTCCTTTAAAGTTAAGTTTCCTTAACCTGTTAAAGTTAAGTTTCAGGTAAAACTGAAGAACAGAATAATAAATGGGCTGTGGTTAATGCTTTGAAAGAGCTGAAGCACCTGTGCGACTTTTTTTCTCTGTTCAGCTTATGCCTTTCATAGTACAGTCTCTTTTATTTATGATTTCAATAGTTGCTTGGTATCTGTTATAGTGATAATAATGATAAGCTCTTGCAGAGTACTTTAGAAGAGAAAAATATTTTACAAGAATCATTGAATTCTTTCAGAAAAATTCTTCTGAAAGTTTTATTCCGTTTTATAATCAAGAAACTGAGATTAGAGATGATAACTTGCTTCAAGGCTCAGAGAGTGTAAGTGTCAGAAGAGAAGTGGTGAGCAGGCTGCACCATCTCCTGAACCTGGCTTGACACATATGGGCTTCTGCAAGTCTTTTTTTGTCCTACGGTGGCTGTGGGGAGGAAGTGAAATTTGAAGGCTAGAGATTAACTAGTTAATATATAATCAATATACTTGGTGGATGATCATACCTACATTTCACAGTAATGCCTGATAGTAGATTATATTTTGTGTGTATGTGTGTGTTAAGGTTATTTGACCTGGAAATGTTGATTATTTTCTTGGGAGGTGTTTTTTTTTTTTTTTTTCCTAGTCAAACCGTAAAAAGAAAGTTGAGGCTTCTACTTCTGGTTGCTTCTTCTTTGGGTGTGATGTTGTTTTAGAGCAAGATTTTAACTACCCTTATCCTGGGAAAACAGCAAGAGAAGCATGTGAAACACCTAGAAAATGTAGCTTGGTGGTGAACTTACGGTGAGTCTCATGGAATGTGAGAGAAATCTGTCTGTATACTGTGATTCATTTCTGAGTGCTGCTATTTGCACAGCTTTTTAGGGGCAGTTTGCGCCTTAGCTACTCCTTAAAATATATCTCTTCACTCTTTTGTAGTACTATACAATCTTACATTCAATTGGCTTGGCTTTCTGAAATATAACCTGACATGCTTGATGATACCAGATGGCTTCTAATTCACATACTTTGTGTTTTTTTCTTAAAAACGTACACAGTCCTTGTTACCACAGTCTGCCAATTCCCGTGAAAGGTAGAAATCGCCTTGTCTTTGCAAGGATTTTACTTTCTGTAAGCGAACTTGTGTTGAACACAACCTTTTATCTTCCCTGCTAGCGAGGATTGAGCAATAGGGTCCAGGTGGGCAGAGTGCTTTGCAAGGCTTTGAACATGAACTCGTGCAATTCATTATGAAGCTCATTACTATGATTTAAAATTGTGTGTAGTTTGAATAGTTAGGGGTACTAAAACATTCTTGTGAATGAAAGAAGATAGCATGTTTAGAGTTCAGCTGTGGAAGATTATCAGATTAGCCATAGTAGACTGTAAATACGTATCATGGTAACTCTTACAGGGACTGGCTTCAACTTGCTTTATTTTGAATAGGTTGAGATAGCAAGGCTTAATACATGATACTAAAACAGGAACATCAATTAGCACATTATTATAAATATTTACATTTCCCAGATCGCAGTATAATTATCCTGTTAGTCTTTGTTCAGACTGCTATTTAAGACTGTTACACATCAGATAATACATTGTACTAACTAAATTAAAGTAATTATGCCTATAGAATCTAGTAATGTTTTCTGAAAGCAGTAGAAACAAGGTGTGTTTAAGTATAGAGGTTTAATTGATAATGAGTTTGATAGTGTTGTAAAAAGGAGGGAGGAGGGGAAAGATTATCCACCACCCTCGAGATACCCAGTTGCCCTCATTCCTTGCCCTGAGAGAATCCAACCCCATCAGCACAACCATGGTTTAGGTGTTCAGTACAGCTGAAGGGAAGAAATCTCTAAGGGGAGCTGGGTAAACAAATTGCTAGTTTACTTTTTATTATTCTTTTAAAGAATTTGACAGCCCTGCTCCTGAAATTATGCATTGTTTTGTTCCCTCAAGAGAGAGTTGCCTTTATGCAGACTTCATAAAGAAGCTGCCTCATAGTTGAGAGAGGGCTGAAATAACATGCAAAGCTTTCCCACTAGGGATACCACACAGGAGCGTCTTCCTCTGCCCTAGCCCAAAGGATGAAGGGAGAGTTTGTCAGCACAGCCTGGTTTTAAGCAGCATTGGTACCTGTATGTATGCATTTCATAGGGTTAACAGGGACCTTAAAAAGATACCTAAAGTTACGTGGTGTCTTTTTATTACACTTTTATAGTAGGTTGTGGGTGGTTTGGGTGCCATTTAATGAGGCATTTGCACACATGTTGTGGGTTGGCATAGTTTTTAACCATTGAAATAAAAGCCCTTGAAATAAAATCCTGCTGCCTAAGTTGAATGTGCTGTCAGTCCTATTCCTCTGTCAGAAGCTCTCTCTTCATTAGTAAGTCAATAGAAAGAAATGCCTCAGTTGCCTGCATGTCTTAGCCCAAATCCATGTTTATCAGCCCCTGAGGCCGAAATATTGAGCTTTGTCATTACTGCTTTTTGTAGCTGGAGCAAGCTGCTCTTAGGAAGTGCAGAGGATCCTGCAAGGATCAGGGAAGGCATTCCCAGTTTTGCAGCTATTTCCCATGACTCCTTGGATAGCTTCCTGAGACATAACTGTTTTCAGCATCTCCATTTCCCTATTAATCATACCTGCAAGCTTGAAAGCCCCTGCCAAAGCCCCTCCAGCCAGGTGTATTTTTGTGTCAGGTGCTTCTTGCATCTTTTAAAATACCTGTTTGAATAGATCAGCAATTCTGGGTGATGGCTGATATTCTACAGGTATCTGCAGAATCAAATGTTTAAAAGGGGCAGGAGTTCTTTCTCACTGACTTAAAAACAGTGAAAGGGAGTGAAGTGATATATAGCTAAGTTGTCATGTAAGAGTTGTCTTTGATTATTTTTGTCCTGTCCTGTTTGAGACCAATCTTAGCCGTATATGAAAAGTATTCGTGGTACTAACCACAGTCCACTTTGTGTGTGCGTGTGCATGCACAGTTATGTACATACTTGTGGTAGGCAGGTAAGTGGATGGGATTTGAGGAATGGAGCCATGTTTCTCTTATAGTTCAAAGCGGTAGCCTGTATAAGTACTGGAAGGCAAATTGCTGAGGTAAAGAACAAAGAACACCTTGTGTTAGAGCATCTTTTTTTTTTTTTTTGGTCCACACCCTTTACTACAAAGCATCTTTAAGTGATTTAGACAAATGTCATCATGTATAGCTTGTGTGTACGCCCAGAAAAATCCAAGGTGTAGCTGAGTGGCAAGACATAGCCGGGAGGACGCGCCTGCAGGAGGCAAGGCCAAAGTCAGGCTGCGGGCCTGGCTTGGAGCTGGTGCCCTTCAACAGAGCATTCCTGTCCTGGGGGTTATGAGCCCCTGTTTGAGGAAAAGGAAGAGTGGGCTCGCAAGGCTTTCAGCTGGTGCGCTGCTCTTGTCTGTGCTCTCTGCTGCTGGGTGGCAAGCCTGAGGTGTGAGGGCTGAGCTGTCCTGTCGCTTGAGCTCCCTCCAGGCCCCGTCTAGAAAGAGCATCCCAGGCCACTATCACATATATCCCATCAGTTGTCGTTGACCCTTCTCTCTCACGAGTTGCTACCCATATTGCTGAGGCAACTGTACAGCGGCATACATTGCATATTTGATAAGAGCCACTTACTTTTCCTGACAACAGGTTTGTGTGCGCCATCTTGTCTCTTGCTTAGGGGGGTAATCAGTTAGCATAAACTTTCTCTTTGTAAAGCCTTAAGTGTAGGGGGAAGAAATATTGTCACTTTTGACATTAGAGAGGGTTTTTTAGGTTCCTTTTTTTCTTCACTGGCATTTTGAAATAGTGAACATGCATTGGAGGGCTTGAGATGGAAGACGATTCTCATATGCGAAACATCCAGGGTTTTGCATAGTGACTTTTGGAGCCCCGAAGAACGGAGCAGATCTGAGCAGGAGCCATTCTGGGAACACACAGGTTGCAAAACCTGTTAAGTGCTCTGTTGCAAATGACTAAAGAAAATCCAGAAGGCCAACATATAAAGGCAAACTTGGGCAGTTTTAATCAGTTGTTTGTTTGTATTTTGTGTCATTTTGCAGAAGTGAATGTTTATTGTCAGTGCTGTAAAACTGATGTTGCAATGGAGAGTATTCACTCCCAAAGTCCTTTTATGGTCTTATGTTGTCTTTACAAACTAGACATCCTGATTTTGAGTTTTCACAACAAAAAAGAATGTTCCAACACCTGCCTGTAACTGTGGGTGTATGCCTTCTTAATGCAAAAGGTATGCAGTGCATAGGAAGATGATTAAGTTGAGGGGGGGAAAAAATGCATACATGGCAGAAGACTCATCCTCATTGTTCTAGTTTAGATCGGGTTGAAATCTCTAAACATGAATAAACAGAGCAGCTGGCAAGACGCAGGCTCATGCCTGGAGCCTTCTAGGCTTCTTTTCACTCAGTACTCATCTGCTTGTGCAAGCACAGCTCCCTCCTCCCGCCGCCCTGCGAGGAGAAAGGAGCAGCCCCTGCTGCCGAGGTGCTTCCAGCTCTCTGCGAGCGCGCCGGAGCCGGCATTCCCGAGGCCGGCTTGCTGCGGCTGAGGAGACAACATTCAGAGACCTTCTTTGATTAGGATGTGTCACTGTTGTCAGGGCAACTGTTAACAGCAGCGTATCATATTTTCTCCTCTTCTGTGGCGTGCTGAATATTTTAGCGTGCTGTAGCTGGAAGAAGGTTGCAGGGAAAAAGGTGCTGCGCAAGGAACCCGGAGCTGTGGGCTGGGATCTGATTGAACAGGTTAAGACAGCAACGAGCAGCATCTGAACCAGTGTGCCTTTAATTAGGGCTTTTCTTGAAGGTGGAGGAAAACTGCAGGCCATCTGCAGCCAAGTGGATGTTGGTATTTGTCAGCTGTTTGCATACTGCTTATCCATAGGGGATCTATTACAAGTGCTCAAATGAGCAGGCAGCGTTGCAGCTAGCTGCTACGCAGGGGCTGCAGTTTCTTACTTTTTTTCCTTGAAATAAGCAAGAGGGAACAGCGACATGCCTAGTTCAACTACTGCTCTCCGTCAAGAGAGACTGAAGAAGACGAGTGCCAGGCCAAATCCCCTGGGTTTATTCACCATTAACGAAGAAGATGAGCAGCAAAAGAATGGGAATCCTAAAAGGCTGAAAGGTATGCCGTGGTTCTGCAGCCTGAGCGAGGTCGCGCGTGGAATATGCTGCACAGCAGACACAACGTTTTGTCAGCTCTTCTGCATGCTACAAAGAACGTCTGTAATAGGCTGGTGCAGTTTGGTGATGCATATTGGCACCCCCAAGTGTGCTGTGATAGATGTATGTATTTAAATCACCTGGATTGTTATGCAAGCATCTGTTTCAGATTCGAAGAAAAAATTACTTTTTAGTTACTACTACCTTTTTTCAGGTAGAGGTAAGGGTCTTGCTTCAGAAATGTATCAGTCAATGTCTGTATATTTTCTCTGGAAGGGTTTCTCTGCACAGTCTGGAAAAATGCCTGTAAAAAGAGGTAGTTTTAGGCTTGCAGAATACAGAATGCAATACCAGCTTCTCTAGAAGACAGCATTGCCAAAGACGGTGTGAAATTAGCTGTACTTCCATTTCTGTGCATAATTGTTCAAATACTATAACTTTGACAAGTTTGACTAAAAATGGGGCACGCTATGACAAATTGTTTCTGCTAAAGAAAAATTATTTGTGGTGTTTGCCATAGGTGAGTGGTGATAGTGGAGGGGTCAACCATGCTGATGGTTGACTTATAGCAGAGATCTGTCAAGCCTGTGTAGCCACTGTCTGTCTTGCATCATGTAATTAATATTTTCTACTTGGATCCTAATGTTTAAGTTTCATTGGTCTGGCATGGATTGTGCACCTTGCAGTTGTGACTGGAATTTTAAGTTTACTGAATTAGAATTTGTGTTTTGTTTTTGTGATTAAGAGGTTCCATTTACATGAATGTTCTTTTTCGTCGTCGTCTTTGGGAGCAAAAAAAAAAAAAAACCCAAAATTGTGGGAGTTTTTTTTGTTTACAAAACATCCGTCAGTGGATAGCCTCAAGATAGTGTTTCAAGTTTCAGACATTTCCATTCTACCATATAACAGGAGAGACCAGCTACCAAGCAAATATTTAAATAGCAAATAGTATGTATATTTACAGAGAGCTGAATTGTTTACAGCTCACTGGTTGTTTTCTTTTTCTTGAAGGAAGAAGTTAGCTTGGTAGCTATAACAAAAAAAAGATTCCTCATTTCTGAATTTCTGTGTTTGTTTTTACAGCTTCTGTTTTTTTCTCATAGTAGTAAAGAATTTACAGATTTGAGCTTCATGATATCTGTATTGCTAGTCATTGTTGACATGATTAATGTGTTAGGGTCTTGTGTACATAGTTACTTGCTCTTCCGTGTATTTGAACCTGCCCATGTAAAATAGGGATGTAAACTCTAGTGTGAGGTTATTGTGTTTCTTAAGGTTTTAAGAAGCATATTACTTTCCTTTATCACCCGCTGGATGACTTCCAGAGTCAACAGTCCACAAAGCTACGGATCAGCAGTTTTCCTGGTTTTGTTCAGTGGCGCTGGTATTTTTCCCAGGATAAAAGTTCTTGTTGACTTAGTTCACTCAGATCTTCTACTTGCAGAGGTTATACACAACTGCCTATTGCTTGCCCCTCTCGTTAAAATTAATTTGATTTTCTTTTTGATCATTCTTGTTTCCTCTTAATGCGGCGAAATGTAACTAGACAAACGTACAGAGGAGCACAAAGAGCAAGCTAACAAGTGCATATGCTTTTTCTAAAATAAAAACACGGTGGCCTACTTTGAATGCTCCTAGTGCGAAATGGCGTAGGAGGTTGTACAAAAGCTTTTTGAAATATACTGCTTTGTTTTTCTTTTCCAAAATACTTAAAATAGCACGTTCTGTTTCTACAACACCATGATGTATGTAGCTTTTTTTTTAACCTTTGTGTCTGTTTGAATGTTTTATCAGTGGATAGGTGGGTTAAAGTTGGAATCCTTGGTCATATGAAATGCATATATTCAAGGTTGTGTTCTCCTTTCCCCTACCTGATACTGAGTAGGGTCATAGTGCAGCTCTGAGGAGAAACATAAGAAGTTCAAGGGATCCGTATGCAGCTTCCTTGAGTTTTCAGAGCCCATCATTTTGTTGCCATTTTACAGTGTTTGCTCCATCTTAGTTCTTGAGCTATCTTGTTTGCTGTATGCTCAGCACGCTTCTGCAGCTGCTGAGGTTTGTTTTGCTAGCACATACTAAGTTAGTGTCATCTTCATGGGAGGTAGGCTAGATAATAAGTCGTCTTCATCTGTAGTTTCTGTGATCATGCTGGACCTGTCTTTGTAGAGCACTTCAAAACCCTAGAGGAGCTGATACTCCAAAGTAATAAAGCAGTTCATTCTTCCGTTAAGAATATTTGAATATCATCACAAATTTTAAAATATTCCTGTTTGTGGGTAGTCCAGGCCTTCTCAGGATAGTAAGGCGTGCTCAGAATTTGTATGAGAGTTATTTCTTTCATCTGAGAAATTAATATTTAGGGCAAGCATAAACTGGTTAACAGTTCAGATTTCCTGTGAATTGATTTCTAAACCAGCCATTTCTTTTCTTAGTGCCCTTGACTGTCTTTACTGTAATCTGAGAAGTCTGGCAGGCATTGAGCTTGTTGTTCCAGTGTAAACACGTATTTAAATGAAAATGTTTGTCAGAGATTTTTGTTTTCTGATCTGGAGATATTAAAAGCCTGCAGAGGTCTTTGTAGCTGTGTGCTCCTGATTTCTTGATTTCTTCTAATGTGAATTGTATTTACTCCTTTTTCACCAAGTCTTAACTTCCTATCCTCCCCCCCACCCCTTACTAAGCAGATAAATGTGTGTTTTGGGGGGATGGAAAAGGCAGCAGTTGACTTCTGGATTCTTAATAATATGTCTGCTTTCATCTGTATATCAATTAGCTAATTAGTAGCTGGCGAGGCAGGAGGGTTTTTGCTTTTTTTCTTTCAATCCCTGCCTGAGAATTTTCTACAAGCTTGAATGTGAATTTTGTATGAGCCTGCCTCTGTTGAAAGGTATTATTCTTCATGTTCTAACTTTGACTGGATTGCTGGCTGAAATTGTTGGTTGTAATTGGGGCAGGGGGAAGAGGTCTATTCTGTTTGCTATTGATAGTTTTTAGCAGGTAACTAGTGGTTCTGATGCTAAATACGTATCTTGTAAGCCCTGGAAGTTGTTTTCATAGGTAATGCTCATGTCAGGAAGTTTGAATCTCATCCTGTAGGCATTCATATGAGGTTGTCCCTTGCTGTTTTATTTCACTTGTTCCAGTGGATTTGACAGTTGTGGGGTTTTTGTTTGCTTTGTTTTTGTTTTGTGATGGTTTTATTGATACTATCGATCTTTTTGCCAGGATATTGCTTAATCAAGCAAGTCTTAAGAAGATGTTTGAAACAAAAATAAGTGAGCTCAAGTGAAAAAATGACTGGAGATGTATAAAATAACAGTAGGGGTAAGCAAATGTAGTGTCTCTACTGCCAATTCTTTGAAGAGATGTTTTTATTATTACATGTGAAGAGAGGAGAACTTACGTCTTGTTTGTAAACCCTGTCTGAGTGGTGAGAATTGGCACGGGTGTCCAGGCTCTGTGGTGCTTATACAAACTTGTGTCCAGAAGTCTCCCAGGTAATAAGTCCTGGGTACTGTTTGTTTTATGGTTGAAGTCTGAACTTGAATTGAGGATCAACTTCCTACTGGGATCAGCATCTATCTGAAATGAATATTTCAGGCATATCTGGTTCTGTTGGACTAAGCAGCCTTAGAAATCAGTTAACAGCCAGGTGATGAACTAGGGTATCCAGAGGGACATTTTAGACATTTTAACATTAGCACTTAAATTTTCAGTTGTTAGAGCTATGCTTTTGAATGCACTATTGGTGCTTAGAGCACATTTTTCCTTTAAAATATGATTTAGTTCAAACCATTATTTGTTGAAGGACCTGGAACTTTTACTGTGATCCTAAATCTCCATTCTAAAGAAGTGTGCCCTTTTTTAGTGGTCTCCTATTCAAAACGTAGTGCATGTAGTCATGCATGAAACATATGCTGTATGTTTTATTTAGGCTATAAGTTTACACCCTGAGAGTGCGCTCCTTTGGCAAGGAGCGTACTGCGAGATCTTTGAGGCAAGGCCCATTGCAAGGTCTTGAGGTCCAATTTTGCGGCTGACAGGTAGCAGAACAGTAAAAATAAAGACTGCTACAAGTTTGAATTGCACTTCTTCTTTACTTTTATTAGAATCTTCCAATCTTCTCTCCCATTATAACATACCAGAGTTTTGCTATATAGGGCACTCTTTTCAAATATAGCCTTTACAGGTTTACAGAAGCTTATTTTGCACTTGAATTGTTTTTGTTTGTAGTCACCAGTTTCCCAGCAGTGCTGCAACTATATCCTAAAAGAAGCCGGACAAAACAGGCACAGAACCACACGCTTAGAGCTTCTGTGCTCCCTTAAAGCTTGTATCGTAAACCAGGTACGGTTTCTGTGACTGAAGATGGCAGCTGAATGTGGTTTTCTGTGTAAATCCTAAAGGTATGTCCAAGTAGGCTTGTCTAAAACTGAAGACATCCATCCATCCTCTCAATGTGTGAGCTGTGGTCTCAGCCATTCTTTTATTTCAGGCACGAGCAATTCAGTTTTTGGCTTAGCATGCCCCTCTTTCTCTGCCGTGTTGATTTTGTGCACCTGGGATGTAGTCTTAACAACTCTTCCTCAGTTTTATTAAATTTTTAGGTGATGCTTCCTCTTCCCTGTCCTTCGGGAGGAGGGAGACCTTCTTAGACTGCACTGATAGCATTGTGTTTCCAAAATGATCTTGGAAGAACATAGAAAGGTAATGCTCATATTTCTGGATTATAAATTAGGGTAATTAATCACTCAAACAGCTGCCTTGTAATTTTGATGTATTTATGGCAAATGCATGAAAAGAAATTTCAGTTAACTTAACAGTGGTATCCTTCACCTGTCTGGCTATTTAAAACTGATTAAAGGAATGTACCTCTAATCTGTTGAGTATTGCTGCTAATGCAAAGCTAGACAAATGTGCTTTAGTTCTCTGAACAATAACATTTATTCTTTGTCATCTTGA